ATTATTATTATTATTATTATTATCATTATTATTATTATTATTATTATTATTATTATTATTATTATTATTATTATTATTATTATTATTATTAATTATTATTATTATTATTATATTATTATTGTTATTATCATTATTATTGATTATTATTATAATATCATTAATTATTTCTGTTATTTTATTATTGCTGTTACTTGTCATCCAAGGATTAATTTTAAGATTTCAAAAAATTACATCTGGTTATTTTTGTTTTGAGGGACTTCATCTCTGAATAATGGATCTATTTGTTAAGGAATGTATCGTAAATTATGGGGTAAATCGAAGTGGATAGGAAATGAAATTATTCGTTGGATGTTAGAAATGGAAATTAAAATAAACTTTTCTTTTTCTACTAATTTCGGATAAGTTAATGTTTTACACGAGATATTTATATTCAACTTAAAATCTTTTATAATGCTAATATTCTCCTATGCTTATAACAATTCAAATTATATAAAATTTCGAATTTTAATTTTTTTTTCACTGTCTTAAATTATAGAAGCAAATTGAAAATGAAAAGGAAACAAAAACGAAAAAGTAAAAATTTTGCAATCTAAATGAATACAGTACATACCGTATACTGTAAGCAGAATACAATAATTTGATAACTGTAGAAATGGATACCATATTTTACATATAAATAAATCATTTTTTTACTGTTATACATAATTAATATCATTTACTTTTTTCATGATATTTTATTACACTTATATAGTTTAAGCAATGAAACAGTTTGTGGTTTAACAATTTGATATTTGATTAATTACAACTACAAAAACATTTACCACAACTATATGTAAACTTGTTATACTGCATTCAAACATAGATAATTATTCTTATGCTTATTATTATACCTGGACATTAATAAGTATATGATAATTAAGGTAAGAAAATAAGTTTGTAAGATTAATTATGACAAAGTACATGGATCTATTGCATTTTACGGAAATGAATTATTTGAAGTATGACAAATTATAGTCATCATATATTGGCAAAAACCGGAAAAATCTTGCAAAAGGCAGCATTCTCATTTTAAATTAAATACTTTTATATTTATTTAAGCTTTTTAGAAAAATGTTGAAAGAAAGGGAAGGCATGAAAAATTACTTTTATTGAATATATGTTATGCTTTAGATTTAATATTTATTGAGTAATATTATAACAGATTTAAGTATTTATTTCCAATTAAATCATCTTTCTAATAATTGCATTAATTATCACAAAAGTGCAGTTTTAGTTTATTTCAGTTTTGCGGGATGATTATTTAAAGTATGATAAATTATAATCAATATCAAATTAATTTTCTCATTTTCATTTATTTATGGCTAAATAATCTAATATTGCATGTTGAAATAACTGAAATAATGAAATAATTTCGAAGTAATTTCTTGAAATAATTCTAAAATAATTTCTTGAAATAATTTCTTAATTAAATAATTTTTTCTCTTAATTATAGTTTAATAATTTTTTAATTGTAGCTTAATTATTGAATGCAACATACAACAAATGGCATATTAAGAATTTTAAAAATGATTGCGATGAAAATGAATAATAAATAAAATTTATCATTGTAATAAAAGAATTGTATTAAGAGAATTTGAATGCTAATTTTTTGTATTCGAACGATATAAATGATTAATTATGTCATTGATAAGATGAATGAAACATAGTTGTGGAAAAAAATGATGAAAAAAGCTAATCATTACTTTATTGATAACCTAGTTTATCATTCAAAAAAGAATGTTAGTTATCATCTCATTATTGTATTTTGGCTTATCACTTAAACAACAAACAAAAACCACTCATTATCCTTACTATTGCATCTTGGCTTATCACTTAAGAAACAAAAACTACTCATTATCTCACTGTTCTATCCCGGCTTTTCACTTAAAAAGCAAAAAACACTCATCATCTCACTGTTATATCTTTGGCTTATCACTTAAGAAACAAAAACTGCTCATCACCTCACTGTTATATCTTGGCTTATCATTATCCGCTCATTGTTATATCTCGGCTTATCATTACCACTTCACTGTTATATCTTGGCTTATCACTTAAGAAACAAAAACCACTCATCATCTCACTATTATATCTTGGCTTATCACTTAAGAAACAAAAACCACTCATCATCTCACTATTATATCTTGGCTTATCACTCAGGAAAATAAAGATGAAATTCGATTTTGTAGCAAAAAATTAATTGCATGGAAAAATTAAATTAAAAATAAAATAAACATCACTGGTTAAGAATGAAAGAATATTGATTAAGTTTAGTAAAACTAAAAAGTGAAACATTCATTGGAATGACAGAACATATAAAATAAATGTTTTAGTGAAATTTGATAAATTTAAGCAAAAAATTTAATAAGTATGGTAATAATTTACAAAGACTACGATAGAAAGATTGATTTACTGTAGAAGGTTCCTTAGAAGAGACTGTATTCATGCATAACACATGTTATCGTATTATCAAATTTGATAAAGGGGTTTTTCTTTTTCTCAAACTTTATAATTTGATCTAAAGATAAATTACCTTTCCTAGCTAATGATAACATAGGTTAAATCTTATAAAAAATTTTCTTTAACAAAAATTAGAAATGAATGATTATTTGAAGTGATAATCATTTTAATGAATCTTAATTTAATGCTAATATTTCCTAGATTTAATTCTTTTGGGATGTTTGTAGCTAACATTTTAATAATTTAATTTCAATTGTGTCAAATTTTAAATGAAATTATCTCCATCACTAAATTTTTCTCATCCATGTATAAAATTTACGATGAAATTAAGCTTTTCAAATATCATTATTTCCTGCATTGATAAAATTGTTGAAAATTAATTCATGCTTTTTAATTTTGAAATACGGAAGTTTAAATGAAGTTAATAGTTACGGTTTTTTTTTGAATGGTATGCATAATTTTCCGTATTATTCAATTTGAAATTTATTTTCGGATAATAATAGTAAGCTGTTTTTTGTTCAAGATTAGCTTTTCAGATGTATAATTAATTTAATCGATAATTTATAGACTGATAAAACCGGAAATATAATATGGAAATTTGTTATTTGTTAATTTCCAATCATTAGTGATAATAAAAGGGATAATTTTGGTAAAGCATCCGGATTTATTGAAATCAAATATGGTAATATAATGAGACAATTCTTTGCAATAACTTAACAATAATGTTATCATGAATTCGTTCAATGAGATTATATCATCATTTTTGAGGACATATTATGATGTCGTAAAAAAAAAAAAAAAAAAGGAAAAAAATGGTATTGCTTCATTGAACATTGCTTATTTGTGATAGTTGAATTTATACATAATGATATAATGATGCATATTTATATGAAAATATTTATATTCTTCAATTAAAACTATAAATTTATAGTAAACATTCGTATACAGTAAAGCCGTGTATACAGTAGGTGTATAAAAGTGATTTACAGTATGCATGTATCAAATTTAAGATAAATATTCTTGAAGAATATACAAAAGTTATAATTAATGAAGATAAGAATCAAGTGAAAGGTGAAACATATAAAATCAAATATTTTTAATACAGGATAAGACGAAATCAAAGGTAAGTTTAATTAAATAAAGCAAGTAAATCAAATATCCTTGAAAAATTTAATCAAATTAATTCGAAATATCAAGAATTAATTTGATTTAATTCGAATTTATCAATTTCTACGTGACATTTTTGATGTAAAGGAATAGACAAAAAAAAAAACGCCTATGCATTGAAATTAATTTTGAAATTGAATGAAACAATTCAAAAATAATGCAAGGCAAACAAATTATTACATTTTAAAACATAATAAAATAATGGTGAAATGAAGCGTAAAAATGCTAAATGAAACGTAAAATTAATGGTGAATTGGCTAAATTGCAAATAAATTTATAAAATTAAAAGTGAAAAATTTATTTTATAAATTTAGTAAAAATAAAAACTTCATAGCATATACGAAAAAAAAAAAAAAGAAAAAGAAAAAGAACTTCATATACTAATAAAATGAAAGTATATCAAATGGAATAACGATAGAATGTAGTAGAGAAGGATGAAAAAAGAAAATAATTAATAAAAGTAATATCGTATGATCTTTGACCCTTTCACTAAAAACATTCATTAAGAATATTAATTTTTCAAAAAAATTCTAGACCAAAATTGCGTGTAAATATACATCATTATATTCCATTATGAACATATAAGGAATATTTGGTAAAGTATTGTTATTTCTTTTTTCTTTTTTTTTTTAGCACATGATATTGGTCAACTTTACTTTCCCTCATTATTACTGGCTTCAATTAGCTTATCATTAGCTTTTCCTTATTAGCTTACCAAATATGTGTTTTACAGCTTTCCTAACTTGTTTCATTCATTTTTCGGTTTACTATTCATTATTTTCGTCACTAACATTTACAATAACTTAATCGCATATCTCATACTACAAGAAATAATCCAGACAATTTTTGATGAAAACGAAAATAAAATAGGAAATTTAAATAAGCATTGAATTGGAAAGATGAAACGAGAGAAATAGGCAAGAAATTATAATGGTTTGTGATATGGATTGGCAATAAAGATAATAGCTTCCAATTTTTTTTATATTATCCATTCAATCTATTATTGATAAAATAGGAATAGTTCAGTTGCATTAATTGAGAATTTTGTTAAAACTTGAAGATATTAACAGAGGAATTTTATTAAAAATTGAAAATAGCACTTCAGAAGTATGATAATACCTACATAATTCAAGAACAAAGATTTCTTAAAAATTGAGCAATGCATATAAACAATAGGAAATCGCATTTAATACTTAATAAAATAGCAAAGCTGTAATACCTCATCCAAATCATCAAAATGATTTTATTAATTTTTAAAAGTACTAGCAAACTAACAGATAACACATGGCATACAGGAATAAATAACAACTCTGCGTATTTCCATTGCTATCACTAAACTTTGGAATATTCCAAAATAAGATTGTAAGCTTTTGTAAACTTTTGAAATTGACCAAGTATGCGCAATTTCTCGTCAGCAGTTAAATTTTTGCAAATGTATTCGGTAGTGGAATATGACAGATTAAAAGTTCCCTGCGGATCCAAATTCAGCGCCCGTCCAACACGCATATACTCATCCGATAAGTTGCAACACATCATCGTTGGATCATCGGTCTACAAATACGGAAATTTAATTGTAGAAAGAAAATCGGTTAATACAACGACAATATTTTGTTGTTATATTAAAATTTTTTCTAACTTTACAATTATCCAGCTTTCTAAATCACAATCTCAGTAGTATTAGCAATATC